TCGACGACCAACCGATCGCCAGCTTTTGGAACCACCGATCATTACCTTCCTCCGGAGATGCTGAAACATCGATTCATGTATGCCGTTCCGGCGATGATCTGGTCGCTCGGAATCATGGTGTTCGAAATGATCACCGGAGAAGAAGTAGACCGTACTTGCAGTTAATCGAAGACGCGGAGCTACTTTCGCTCCTCGATCGAATGCTGGCGGTCGACTGGAAGAAGAGGCCGTCGCTGAAACAAGTGTCGGATCATCCATGGACGAATAAACTGACTGCGAATGAGGAATATGTTCAATAGAAGACGAGATGTACAGACGGATGCACAACAAAGAATTTCGCAATTTCACGTCCCCGGGTCGGAGGGAGACGGCTTCGTTCGACCGACGTGGCGCAGAGATCGACCGCACCACCCCGTCATGGTAAAGGAGATTTTGAGGCCTTGCCCCACGTCAAGATGGAAGGGTGCGCAGCTGCCCGAGGAGGCGGTGTTCATGGAGATGGCGAAGGAAGTTCCCGGTTGCGCGAACTTGGAAGCCGTTTCGAACGACGACCAATCTTACCTTCTGGCCGTGACGCGACCGACGTTCCACTGCTTCCTGAACGAGATGCTGGAATTTTCGTGCTGCGGAGAAAACAACGCGAAGAAGATATTCTAGCAGGTGGTGCGAGCCTGCGTCGGCTGTCGAGACCTCGGTTTCTACCACGACTCGGTGGACGAGAACAACGTGGTCGTCGACTTGATCACGGACGGCGCCGAACTCGTAAATTTTGGGTCGGCCGTGAAAATCGACGAGCGGAACAGATCTGTGTTGGAAAGACGCTGCGTCGACTCGTTGACATCACTGCATCGCCGGATGACCGGAAGAGAATGTTTCGTCGGACAAGAAGCGGCCACTCTCGACGACTTGATGAGATGGGTGGTAGACGACACCGATTCCCGAGAATAAATTTTTTTTTTACAAATGTTGTTCTTTCCAACCCTCCCCCCAAATTGTTTTGTATACTATGTCAAATGAATATTGAAATAATAAGGGAGCCTCGCAAAATAAAGCAACGCGTATACCCGTCTACAACGCGTGGTTGGGGATTAAAATATCTTTGCGTTGCAGACGAGTGGTTCAAGATACTGATCAAAAATGTTGGACGATTCCATTTCGCGAATTAGGGTTCGTTTTCC